TTGCATGAAATTCTCACTTTATACTATCTAGCTTTTTTTACCCTCACTCACTCGCCACTGAGGAAGGACTAGTGTTGTCCGAAAGCTCTGGTTCTATTTCTGGCTGTTTACTTACGTTTACTTTTGAGCTGTTGCTTATCATTTTTGTATCTCTACTGAGATCCAGCCATTGTTTCCCACAGCATTGTTGTTTTTCAGTATTTTGCCTTTTAATCTATTATATATATATTATATATATATATATTATATATATGTATATATATGCAAATAGTATACATGTAAACGTTTTACAAATAACGATGGATACTATGCTTATACAATGGGTATTATTGTACACGTAGAACAAATTGCTCTATGTTGTATAAACAATGTAAGTCACCATGAATCGAGTCTTTAGTGAAGCGGAACATTCATATCTAAGTAATGTAGATAATAATCGAATGGGACTATAATAATTAAACCATTAAAATGATTAAGCCATCAAAATAATCATGAAATAGGCGAAGACTGATAAATAAATCAATATACAGTAATATAAATATAGGCATATTATAAATTAGAGGAATATAAAGTAGAACAAAAACGTGATGTATACTGTACTATAGAGTCATGAGACATTATTTGGTGAATGTAAAGCCTGAAGCAAAACCTAGGTCCTTGTTAGCTCCTATTTTATGAGTCCTAAGTTTCAAAATCTTTTTAATTTCTGCACATCTATTCATTCATTGAGAGACCTGAAGTTGTTTTCTATAATGATGCATCTCATATCATTGATGGCGTGTCTAGCTCCGTTAATTAGCTGAAGGAAGGAAGGAAGGAAGATTATATTTGTTCTTATAGAGCTTTTGTGATTATTAATCCTTTGTCTAAATGAGTGCATTCACTTCCTCCGACATAACATACCCATTTACATACGGTACATTATATGAGATATATGATATTATGGGCGTTGCAAGTGAACGAAGGGGGTTTGCTTTTAGTGTTGGCTACATGGATGGGACTGTCTGTTTTGAGGATATGGCAAATATTGCATATGGGATTACCTCAAGGTTCGTTACCTGGTTGGGGACGTGAACAGGGAAGATTGGAGGATGTGAGTAAAAATTTGAGGTGAGGGGTTGTCTTCTAGTCAAGACTGGGGGTCTTTGAAAGCTTCATTGTCAGGTATTTTATTTTTGATAATTTTGAAGTCGTCTTTGGGATGGTTGATTAGGTGACTAAGTTGAGTGCTGTGGGTGAAAACCACAGGGAGCCACTGAGATGGGGTTTTGAGTTTGTATCGTAGAAGTTGATCTCGGGTTTTGTTGGATGCTTTGGTCAGGTATGTCTTTATTATTTTGATGGGATAATTACTTTGTGCAAATTTACTGACGAGCGTTTGTCACGTGTTTGGTCAGAGCACAGTTGTTGAAAAAATGCATTATTCGCATGCTTCCTTTAAGAATAAGTTGTATTATGACCAAGTTGTTATCATAATATGACTTTTAAACTGTAATATTAAATAAGACCAATCAACACACAACATAAAACATGTACATATCAAAATTATTATAATGTTTAAACTCACCTCGTCGGTGCGTGCATAAAACGTAATTTCTTGGAATTTTGATCTAACGTGTATAATGAAATTGATAAACAATCGAAATTCTCTGTACTATTATGCTAAATATTTACATAATGGACGTCATTATGTTGTAGTCCTATTAGAACTGTAATATTATTATTAAAGAAGTCCATTCAACAAACAACATAAAACATATACATATAAATGTTCTTAGGTTAAAGTTCTCACGTCGGTGCATGCATAAAACGTAATTTCCTAAAATTTGGATACGCCTATATGAGATTGACAGTCAATCGAAATTCTCTGTACTATCTATATGCTAATTTAATGAGTGGACTTAATGTTTTAAAGCAATATAAATGTATATTGAGCTACGCAAAGTTTAGAAGTTTAAACGTTCAAAGAGAGGACTTATGTTGTGGTCATATCAGACTGTAATATCATTAAGATTACCGTATTCAACAAACAACATAAAACATATCAAAATGATTAGGTTAACCTTTCCACTTTGGTGCATGAATATAACGTAATTCTTAGGATATATGAGATTTACATGACATTTTAGAATGTGCTGTTATAAAATATTTTACATTTTAATCAGTAATCTATGAAATACGGGGATTAGTTATCTGTAAATCCTTCGGAACCCCTGCAACTGCGATACAACCGGGGTCGGGGCAATTTTGGTCCCCATCAGCTCTTTTGGTCTGTTGGTAGTGTTTGTTGTTGAATTGGAAATGATTGATATGTGTATGTATATCTGTGCTATAACATAAATGGACCGTTCCGCTAAGCCACGCTACTTGGATATTGTTGCTAAGGTCCACAAAACGATAGCGTTAAAACCACTGATCTCTGTTATAATAGAGATCAGTATGGTTAAAACATACGCAAGCACGTGCGTTTGTGGGACAATACACCTGTGTTTGTGAGACGCACGCGTATTCCTGGCGCTGTTCTGGTTGGTCAGTTCAGTTTGATTGACAATCCGGAAAGGTCTACTATGTAAAGAGTGGACTTACTTTTACTTTGGTACTGATTGATAGGCTTAACTATGAAACAAAGAACAATACATTAACCATTGAGGATGAAATATGTATATAGGCAATGAATTAACTATTGAGGATGAAATATGTATACGGTATACAGTTGATGTCATCGGCTTTGCCGACAAACATGATCTATATTTTCATATGGGTTTGCAAAACTACTTCTGTACATTTTGTAGATTTCAATCTATGTACAATAATTTTATATTGGCATATTATGTGAACTAGATTAGCAGGAACTATGGATAGAGTTGTCGTGTCCAACAGTCCGTGACAAAATTTATATTCACAACACGAAGTTCAACCTAATGACATTCAATTACATGTATTGTGTATGTTCCACTGAGTAGGTTTTGCTGAAAAAAGGGTCAAAACGGTATGTACACAGAAATCTCTAATTCAATCAAGTAAATGTATCTGCCGTTTATAGACTGGAAAGCAGGGCCTATCCTATAACAGTAATACTTCTGTCTATTACACACATTTTTACCATAAAAAAACGAAGATTAACTATGTCACCACTTGTAGCGTATTTTTTCAATGTCATCGGTTATAGCTACTTCACATGTATGTGTGTGTGTGTGTGTGTGTGTGTGTAAATCCACGTGTGTTCTTCAAATTATATATTAGAACACTGTATTTATTTTCGAAAGAAATTTTCGGCCAGTCCTCTGGCCTTCATCAGCTTTACTGAATGCTCAAGATTAGCTGTTGCAAGTTGTATACTGTACAATATAAACAATACAATAGTGATGTATTGTATTGTTTTTTGTACAGTATACAACTTGCAACAGCTAATCTTGTGCATTCAGTAAAGCTGATGAAGGCCAGAGGACTGGCCGAAAATTTCTTTCGAAATTAAATACAGTGTTCTACAGTCTGCCTTGTTGTCATCATTTTTTGTTTCAACGACTAATATTGTGTAATAACATTGTGTAATAAAATGCTTCTGACTTCAATTCAGTTGGGGCCCTTATATTATTATAATCATATATTATGTGTGTGTAAAACCGCCTTTCCTATTACTGTATCTTTAAATATTCGACTGTGTTTTTTTACATTAAATAAGTTAAGTACAGGCCTATTACATGCCTGAATTAAATGTTAACCTAACAATTGTTTACGTCTATCTTTATATTTCAAGATCCCTATGTACGAATGGATGGACCGAACCAAGGTCTGTCAAAAATATTTGTTAAACAAGGTAAATACAATAACTATAAGAAACCGTTTATCGAACAAAATGAGTAGGCCTAATGTGTGAGAAACAATGCACAATGCAATTTCAATTTATACAGTTTATTCAGAGAGATGAAAAAAAACAAACATTACAAACGCACAAAAGCAGTAAATAAGTACAAAGTAATAATATAAACTGAATGAACTGAGAAATAAACCCAAGAAAGTTTACAATACAAGTAAACTTATTTCCATTGGGGTCCTTAAGATAGAAAGAAAACATTGAAAATTTCACTAAACCCAACCACTAAAAATAACAAAAGCTCATCAATTCAAATTACATTTAAATTACAATTTACAATAAAAATACACAAATTCAAAAGACGGTCAAAAAGTCTAAATTACAGCACATTGGATATCGTTGCTAGATCTCACAAAAACGACAGCGTAAACACGTGCGTTTGACATTGATTTAACTGTGTTGATTGTTTAGTGTATGAACATGTATTATTTTGAAAGTAGGCCTATTATTTTGTTTAGTGCGCTTTCTATATTCATATATTACAATATAATATAGTACTATTTATATCATAAAACGATTATATTTCCATGACTTTATTCGATGATTACTGTTCTTTACTATTGGTTTTTATAACGTCTGTAAATGTTGTACAGTATGTCTAACACTAGATTGCGTTATAGTCAATACAATGCATGTTATTTTTAATACCAGCATGGTTTTCTTCTCTTCAAAAGAATTCCTATTCCTGTATTTTAACAAATTTCAACTAAAATAATAGGCCTACTAATTCAAAGTTTCTTCTATACCGGTCATATGTATGTAAATACAGTATATTTAAACTTTAATCGATCCCAATTTGTTTTAGCCAGTGTATGCACTGCATACCTTGCTTGCCTTGACGGTCCGCCACTGAACATATGGGCATGTCTTATCCTCTGTAGTATCCTCTGTAGTTTAGCATATTTAATCATGAAAGTTCAAAAAGTATTGTCGAAGGCCGTTAATAAATGCTTTTGTCTAATTAATATGTTCCATAGACGACCCTGTTTACGAGGAGCTGAACATAGTGCAAAAGCCACCCGAATGTTTGCAACGCACTGAAAGACAACCGAGTTGTAAATATCACAAAGCTATTTTAGCAGTGGCTATTGTTACACCAGTCTTAAACCTGATTGGATGTAATTGCCCTAATAAAATCCATGCACAATAAATGCATATCAGAATTAGGAATTGGTATATGATTGGAGTAACAATAGCCATGGCCTATTATTTTTTGCCTTTTACATTAAGATTATAAATTATGTTTTAAAATGATTTTTGTGAAAGTTTGATAGTGTTTTTTGGTATCTGTTTACATTTTAATATGTTTGATAAATTTGTATTAGGTAAAGCATTGCTCTCCTTATTTGTATGTGTTGGTAATTGATACGCTGATGTTGCTACAGCTGTTGTTGCTGCTGCTACTGCTCGCTACTGCAATAGCTCGCTACTGCAACTATTACCATTACTACTACTACTACTACTACTACTACTACTACTACTACTACTACTACTACTACTACTACTACTACTACCTACTACTACTACTACTACTACTACTACTACTACTACTACTACTACTACTACTACTACTACTACTACTACTACTACTACTACTACTACTACTACTACTACTACTACTACTACTACTACTACTACTACTACTACTACTACTACTACTACTAATAATAATAATAATAATAATAATAATAGTCATAACAAAAATAATAATAGTACTAAAGGCCTTAAAAAATGGTTTGCTGTCACATTGTAAATATTTAAGTGAAGGGCGGGCGGAAAAAGGTGGTTTTTTTAAAAGAAAGATTACCAAAACGGTCTGTATAGAGGTTTGTAGAAAATGAGGGCTGGGATAATTCTTTTATTTTTTATTTTTGAAAATGTAGAAACTGAATGTACACTATAGATCTCCTTGCGATTTGAAGCTATTTTTTGTAGTTTGGGATTGGAAGAGGAATCTTTCGTTGGAGTAAGACACGTGATTAAAATAAACTACGGTACTGCACTATGTATCAGGTCAAGCTCACCAGTTTCATTTACTTATTAAATGTGTTATAAAAAAAGGTATAAATCGCAACAACTGCAACTGTATCACCTTGGTGGTAGTAGTAGTACCAACTACGGTACGAGGAGAGAAAAATTTAGAGTTAACCAAGTGTGAAACGGTCGTAGTCAGCGTGCTGTGGAACCGGCGGTCGTGTAATCGTGTCGAACGAAATCGATTTATTTATTTATTTATGACAATTCGAGCTGCAACAGCCCAGGAAAGACCAAATAGCATTAAGCTAATAGCAAAGGCCTTCCAACACAAACAATAAACGTACAATTAAAAAAATAGGGACATACCGTACAATACAAGCTAAGAAACATGAGATAAAACCAATTTTTTTAAATTGATAAACGGAATGAGATATTATTATATGGTTAGGGAGACTATTCCACAGAGCTATTGTCGAAGGGAAAAACGATGACTGATTAGCTCGAGTCCTACACTTAGGGACTACAAATGAATTAGAATGATTATTTCTACTACTACGACGGCCAGGCTCAACTAAAGTGCCAGGGGGTAAACAATTATAACTTCTAACAAACCTGAACAGAGTTACAAGCTTGAGAAATAAACGTCTGTTAACTTTATTTATTAATTAACTTAATAAAAATAAAAAAATAAAAACGTTTAAGAAAAAAAAAAAAACCCACCCCCCTCATTTTTCGGATTTTAGGGGCGGCGGATGACGGCCAACAAGCAAGTTTTTTTTAGGCCTTTAAATAATAACCATAATCGGCATCAGCATAATTAATAATAATTACGGTAACTAATAAAAGAATACATAAAATAAATGATAATAATAATAATAAAAGTACAATCTTTGTTTCAGTACCAAAACCAGGCCTAAGGAGTTTTGTTGAAAATTTCTCAGAAAGTTGTGCAATTGATACTTTTACAGGTTTGTCCATCACAAATACATTCGATTTGGGGTTTCCGCTGGTTGTGTGTGGTGGGAGTTATTTCGACTGCTATCTGCTGTAGTATTCAATACTACAGTGTTAAACCTTAGCTAATGTATGAAAGAGAAAAACGGATAGTCAGAATGCTACATACCCAAAATCGTGCTATCACATTACAGGCAGGGGCGTAACTAGGGTTTTTTGGCGCGGCCGGGGAAAATGGAAATGGAGGATTTGCCCGACGGGGGTGGGGTCTGTCCCCTGACCGGGGTGGGAGATGCGATTTCCCCGCGAGAGCGTAAGTGGGTGTTCGGGCGTTGTCCAAAACCTCTAGGAAGTGACCCGGGGGAGGTGGGGGTGGTGGATCCCCCGGGAACGATAACAATTTATGGGTTTCAAAGGCTTATTTAAGCGAGTCCAATAATGTTAGGTCTAATAATACATAGGCCTACATGGGGTGGGGGTCCCCACTGGCAACACTTCTGTTTTTTAAATTTTAATTTGTGGAATACTCTGCTATAATTTTACTTACTGACTTGAGTAAAAATGCTCTCACGGAAGCCCTATGCATTTCGTCCACTTGTTCAGGCCTGCCTGTACGTGATTATTCGAAATTCGACATTGTATCTAAGAAAACTGCAGTATTGAATTGTTAACTTAATAGTCCTTTAATCGTTGTATGTTATATGCTGTGTTTGCATTTTATAATATATATTTCGCATTGTGTCTTCATTTTCCAACTGGTTTCTTTTTTATTTTCATTGAATTGCTCTGTGAAATAGTCTAGAACCTTTCTGTGTCTCTCTTCGAACATCTGGATCCGCCACTGAGATATGAGATATTACATTTCATTTGGTTTATTTCGTCAAACAACAAACACAAACCACACTAAATTGTTTTGTATAAAGCTTCTCCGCTGATTAGGGTAACATACATGAAATAATGTATCTATGTTCTCTATAATAATGAAATAAATATAAATTTATACTCATTGTATTTGATATGTTCAGTAATGTAGCCCTAATGTCTGATTATATTTTTTTCAGCACCAGTTTGTCCAATTGAGCGCCCGCCGTTACCGGCACCCAGGACTCCATCCCCGGCTCCTAGGTCTATACGTACGTAGATTATTATTTTTATATACATTAATTTTATTGAATATTATGAAGCTTTCGTTTCTGGATGAGTATTGAATCATAGAAGTTGTTTTCTTTGTTTGTATGTGACCGTCCCAGTACACATCACGTCTAATGATAAGCTAACGGCCGTGGAGTATCTACAGTGTGGGTTTGCGAGGTTTAAATTTTTAACGTGAGGATTGATTCCGCCCTTCTCCCGTTCTTTCCTGGATCATTTCGAACTTTTAGGATAATTTAAAGGATTTTAAGCAAATCAAGAACATCATAACTGCCTCGAATAGGTATATTAGCATGTCTTTTCGGGCCGAAACGACCGGTGCCGATCGGTTAAAAAATCTGAAGCGTCGGTGCCAGGTTTTCCAACCAATAGAGAATCATCCAATCACAATTAAGAATTAGTAGGCCTAAGATGCTGTCTTCAAATAAATTCACTCCTGTCCCCCTGTGGGTGGAATCTAGGTTCTAGACCTTTACCCTATTTCAAAAGATACAGCTCGGCAGCTATGAAAGTAGGTTTGCTTACTTCAAGATTACGTTGCACCTAGGCTTATATTTTCGCTTATTGCCATGGAAAAGAATATTTTAATTATTAATTTTATTCCTACAGCGGATGCAATACAAAAACAAATAATTGCTGACTTGGCAAGGCAGGTGGCACATGAAGGTATCGGAAAACCTTTTAGATAATAGTTTTAATTTAAGTGATATTCCTAGATTGAAAAAATAACAAAAACGAATATAAAACAGTTAAAATAGCTTGGTTCTAAATACATTACAATAGAAATGTAAAAATTTGAAAGTCTATTTTTAAATTTTAACATTCTAATTTTTTTTAAATTTATAATATTTAAAAAAATTACTAAGCAAACAAACATTTTTTTATTATTATTATATGCACAGGTTACTTTTAACGTTCCGGTTAGTTTATCAGAAAATAAACCAAACATAAAGTTGCAACAAACTTCACAATAGATTTAGACAGATATTAAGTTAAAAATACAAATAAACGATTTTGTGTTAAAAGAAAAACTGAATGGGAACATTCAAACATTTTTTTTTTGGCAAATGGTTGGAGGGTAAAAATCTTATAATTTCAAACTGTTTTTTTTTTACTGTAATGAGGCCTGTGTATTTTTCTCATGTTACGAGAACTGTGAGGTCTTCTTTGAGTGAGCTTGCTGTAACAGCTACCCTGAAATATTTACCATTTAATTTACTTTTCAGCATCAAACAAGAGTTTGAAACCAAACAGCCCGCCACGATGTCTTAACATTCGGCATTCCATGCATAGTCTTCCTTCGAAAGGTTGGTACAGTTTATTAAGTTAACCA